CATAGGTGTAGGTCGAGTTCATCAAATTGTATCAGATTACTCTTTTTTTCCTCTTCTTTCTTCTTCTGGTTGAGCTCTGATCATCTAGTCATTGAAGTCAGGTCAAGTGGGTATTATCCTGTATAGCTTTTTGAAGGCTGTAAATCTTTACAGGAGCAGAAAGCCTCATCTTTTGCCCGAGGAACTGCTGGGTAGTTTAGAACTGCTGACCTTGAGATTAGCAGCCAGACTCAAAACTACTACACTACCAGAATTATCCATTTAAAATTAGCCTGCTATATTTGGTCAAACATTTAATTAACTCACCCCTAATGTGATGGCTGCGGGAGAAAGATGAGGCTTTCTACTCCCGTAAAGATTTACACCCTCGGAAACCCTGTACAGGGTCGCTATGAGTCGGTTCCGACTCCACGGCACATAACAACAACAACAATGTGATGGCTGCAAAATCGGTTTCAACTGCAAGGTCGGTGGTTCAAGCTCACCAGCTGCTTCTTGGGAACCCTATACAGGGTTGCTATGGGTCGGAACCAACTTGACGGCATGTAACAAAAATATGATGGCTGTAGTCCTGGTGTGGCACTGTAGGATAATGCACTGGACCATAAGGTCAGTTTGTACTGCAAGATTGGTGGTTTAAACCTACCAGCTACTCCTAGGAAACCCTATATAGTCTCTATGGGCCAGAACCAACTCTACAGCACTTAACAATAACAACAAATGTGATGGCTGGGACTGCTGGATGTTCCCCATCCCTGGTATAGAAGAATTACAACGGGTCAGGGGAGGTCAATGTGCTGGGTGATCACCAGGCTCAGGAATCCTCTCCATCTCTCAGGGGTCGTCTTTCTCTACCGGGAGGGCTCTGCCCGATATGCCTTCTCCTTCATTGGGGCTCAGGAAGCGTGTGCCCGCATCGGGGCCCACATCGCCACCCCAGAGCAGCTCTACGCTGCCTACCTCGGGGGCTATGAGCAGTGTGACGCTGGCTGGCTGTCCGACCAGACTGTGAGGTGGGCTGGGAACTGTGGACCAGGGGTTTCCTGTTATCTTTGTGAGGTGCCTGTGGCCTGTGACTTTGCCAGGGACTGGGCTGGGTTGGACATACAGGGCTCCTGCCTCAGAGAATGAGGTTGGTCTAAGGAGGGTGGTAAAAAGAAGGGTGGGACAAAGGTGTCCCTGCAGAGCTGGGTAGGCAACCTGACCATCAGCAATTGACTGCTTTGAAAGGACATTGTGATTTGATAGAATCAGTATGGGATGGTGAATGTGCCTGTACTGAGCCTCTCCTCTCTTCCCAGGTATCCCATTCAGACCCCAAGAGAAGCCTGTTACGGAGACATGGATGGCTTCCCTGGGGTTCGGAACTATGGGGTGGTGGACCCAGATGACCTCTATGATGTCTACTGTTATGCTGAGGACCTAAATGGTGATTGGGGATGAAGGGTTCTCAGGAAATGCAACCCCTTTTTCAACATTGATAGTAGGTCTTCCCAAAGCCTCTGCTGGGGGAGGACTTTACTCATCTGGATTTCATTGTCCCTCATGTGTCTAAGGGGCTCTGCCAGGGACTGAACCAGGTTGGACATATAGGACTAAAAGAAAATCCCTTTCTCCAAACACTGTCAAAGAGGCCAAAGCAACAGGTTCTGACTGTTGCTACCTGTTATGTACCACTCTCTGCTTCTTATGTATCTAGGCCTCAGTTTCCTTCTTTGCAGAATGAAAGTGCACAGGTTGGGCCAAGTTACTTTTAGCTACAATATCCATCCTGAGGTTTCATCCAGACTGATTCTGTGATGAAGTAGAGTAGTTGACCCCATGTCACAGATGAGAGGCTCAGACCTGAAGAAGCTTGCCCAAAATCTCTATGGGAGCTCAGGGTTGAAGGGGCTACCTGGTAACCCATCTCCCTCTTCCCCACACAGGAGAGCTATTCCTGGGTGCCCCTCCAGACAAACTGACATTGGAAGAAGCAAGGATGTACTGCCAGGAACGGGGTGCAGAGATTGCCACCACGGGTCAGCTGTATGCAGCCTGGGATGGTGGTCTGGACCGCTGCAGTCCAGGCTGGCTGGCTGATGGCAGTGTGCGCTACCCCATTGTCACACCCAGCCAGCGCTGTGGTGGGGGCCTGCCTGGTGTCAAGACCCTCTTCCTCTTCCCAAATCAGACTGGTTTTCCCAACAAACATAGCCGCTTCAATGTCTACTGTTTCCGAGGTGAGCCCCCATCCTCACAGAGCTTGAAACCAACTTCACAGGGGCAGGGTCAAGCATTAGAAGTCCTATCCTGATCACATTTTCTGAGGTCTGTACCTTTTGCCTGAAGGAGCCTTGGGTGATGCATAAGTTTTGTCATCTAGAGCTCTAATTCTGGGCATGCCTCCTGCCTTAGTCTCACACAGCTGCGTGGCTCCATAAAGTCATCAGCTTCCTGCATCTCTTCACTTGCCTCGCCCACCATGCCTTTCTCTTCCATTTTCAAAACTACCTTTTCATATTGGGCTGCCAGCTAAGTTCCTAATTCCTGTTAGCTCATTGGCAGGTATCATAGTGGTTATGAATCGGGCTGCGAACCACAAGATCAGCAGTTCAAAACTACTAGCTGTTCCACAGAAGAAAAATGAGGCTTTCTGCTCCCGTAAAGATTTACAGCCTTGGAAACCCTGTAGAGGGTCACTATGAATAGGAACCAACTCCATGGCACATAACAACAACAACACTGGCAGAGCAGAAATGACTGACATTCTCTGAATCTAATGAATGATCAGATTTACTCTTCAAAATTCTCCAAACGAAATGCCTTCAAGAGTCCTCAGGGGAAAGGGGTTTCCAGAACCTGAAGCTTGAAGTGTCAGGTTTTTAACTACCAATTACTAATGGACAGATAATTTCCCCTCTAAGAAGCAGGGTCTCAAGAATAGTTTAGTATAGAAATGATTTCCTGCCCACATATTATATTGAGAGATGGACAGAAGGCAATGCCTGGGACCCCCAGAGGCACAGGGTCCAGGTCAGAGTGACTAACAATCAGGGAATATCGCCAAATGTTGTTTAGGTCCTTGCCTCACTTGTGAGCCTACAGTGCTGGTGGCAAGGATGAGGAGGAGAGACTGAGAAAAGCATGACTTCCATCGGAGTAGCTTCAGACATCTTTGATCTGGGACTGAGGATGGTTAGGAAGTGAAGTCCACACAGGAAGATGAGTCCATCTGGAAGGATTCCTAGAACAGTGTTGATAGCAATAGCAATAATGATGATGATGATGTTATTAAGTGCTGTTGAGTTGGTTCCAATTCATAGCAACCCTGTATAGGGTTTCCAAGGAAATGCTGGTGGGTTTGAACTTCTGATCTTATTGTTAGCAGTCTAGTGCTTATCCTACAGCACTACACATAGCAAATATTTCTACACACTATGTGCCAAGCATTGTTCTGGAAAGGTGAGCTGAATCAAAGGAGTAGGGAAGAGGGTAACTATTCTTGGGAGCAGGTGGAGGACTGACAGGCGAGAGCATAGTTTTGCTTTTCTGGCATGGAGCAAGGCTTACTGGAGCAGATGATGAGGGCAGGGACGTTCTGTCCCGTCTTGCCCTGCTAAGCAGATGGCCCTTAGGGCTTTTCTTAGCCCAATTCCATCTTTGCTTCATTGGTTTTCTCCTTTCTGTTCCTTTCCCCAATGGATAAGACAATTCACTTTAAACCTCTCATTACTTGAAAGGAGCAAACCCCAGAAGAAAACGGTGACTCTTTGTCTTCTTGGCCCAGCTCTGATTTCCTCAGGTGATGACTATTGAATGTTCTTCCTGAACTCTGCCCTTTACTTCTCCAGTGTTGATAGCAGTGTGTTTCTTTCCATTTCAAGAATCTTGGGATGAGAGACCAAATGAATGGGTCTTCTTACAATCTTGCCACCCAGCCCAGGGTGCCAAGGTGCTGAGATCATTCTGTGCATACTTTTATCTCCATCCCTCATTCAAGGGAGTATCTCTCACCTGAGCCTCTCCTGACTGTTCTACCTAAAGTACTTTCTATCATTCAATCTTTACTCTGCTTAGTTGTTCTTTACATTGTAACATTATAATATGAGGATAGGTCCAAAAATATTGGTACAAAATAATTGTTGTTGTTGTTAAGTGTTGTTGACTTGGTTCTTACTGATATTGTTGTTGTTGTTATGTGCCATCGAGTCAATTCTGACCCATAGCAACCCTGTATAGGGTTTCCAAGAAGCATCTGGTGAACTTGAACTACCGACTTTGCAGTTCAAACAATGCAGTCTGATGCATTAGCCCAAAGTGCCACACCAGGACTCTAGTGGCCCTGTATAGAAGTTCCAAGGAGCAGCTGGTGGGTTTGAACTACCTACCTTTTGGTTTGCAGTCCAGTGCTGATCCTACAGCACCACACCAGGAGCCCACAAAATCATAGAATTTTTTATTAAGCAAAAATATCAAAATGTGAAACTACTGTTTCTCAACATATCCTCCATTTTAGCCTATGCCCCATCTCTCTAACCCTTCCCTAAAGAATTCTGTACTCTGATTTACACCACGCCCAAATGGCTGTTTTGGCATCCTCCAGAGACTCGAGTCGTGTTCCTTTTAAATGTTCCTTGAGTTTGGGGAACAAAAAGAAGTGTAAAGGGGCAATATTATGACTGTTGGGTGGATGGAGTAAGGTGTCCCAGCTAAGGGCATTCTCAAGGAACAGCCCTTGCTACCCTTGAAGAATGATCAAGCACATTGTTGTGATGGAAAAAAATTCCTTGACACAATTTTCCTGGCCTTTCTCTCACACATGCAGTTAAAAACAAAACAAAAACAAAACTTCCTCCCAGTTAACTTATTTGATCATCCTGTGTCCTTTGAGAAAATCTGCCAAGATCACCCGTTGTTGTCATTGTTAGGTGCCATTGAGTTGGTATTGACTCAGCAACCCTATGCACAACAGAATGAAACACTGCCTGGTCCTAGGCCAATCTCACAATCATTGCTATGCTTGAGCCCATTGCTGCTGCCAGTGCGTCAATCCACCTTCTTGGGGGTCTTCTTCTTTTTCTCTGACCTTCCACTTTACCAAACATGATGCCCTTCTCCAGGGGCTGGTCCCTCCTGATAATATGTCCAAAGTATGAGAGATAAAGTCTGGCCATCCTGGCTTCTAGGGAGCATTCTGGCTGTACTTCCAACACAGATTTGTTTGTTCTTTTGGCAGTCCATGGCACTTTTAATATTCTCCTCCAACACCATAACTCAAATGCATCAATTTTTCTATGGTCTTTCTTACTCAATGTCCAACTTTCACATGCATATGAGGCTACTGAAAAAATACCATGGCTTGGGTCAGGCACACCTTAGTCTCAAACTGATTATCTTTGTTCTTTAACGCTTTAAAGAGGTCTTATACAGTAGATTTGCCCAATGTAATACATGGTTTGATTTCTTGACTGCTGCTTCCATGAGTGTTGATGGTTGATTTGAGCAAAATGAAGTCTTTGACAACTTCAATCTTTTCTCCATTTATCTTGATGTCATGTATTGGTCAGATGGTAAGGATTTTTGTTTTATTTACATTGCGGTACAAACTACACTGAAGGCTGTCATCTTTGATCTTCATCAGTAATTATTTTAAGTCCTCTTTGCTTTCAGCAAACCAAAGTATCAACTGCATATCGCAGGTTGTTAATGAGTCTTCCTCCAATTCTAATACCACATTCTTCTTCATATAATCCATTTCTCAGATCATGTGCTCAGCATAAGTTGATTAAGTATGGTGAAAGAATACAACTCTGGCGCACACCTTTCCTAATTTTAAACCATTCAATGTTCCCTTGTTCTGTCCGAACAACTGCTTCTTAGTCTAGGTACAGGCTCCTCATGAACACAATTAAGTGTTCCAGAATAATCATTCTCCACAATGTTGCCCATGGTGTGTCATGATCCACACAATTGAAAGCCTTTGCATAGTCAAGAAAGCAGAGATAAACATCTTTCTGGTATTCTCTGCTTTCAGCTAAGAGCCATCTGACATTAGCAATGATATCCCTTGTTCCACAGCCTCATTTGAATCTGTCTTGAACCTCTGGCAGTTCTCTGTCAATGTACTGTTGCATTCGTTTTTTAAATTATTATCTTTAGCAAAATTTTTGCTTGCATGCGACATTAATGATATTGTCAGATGATTTCTGCATTCCATTGGGTCACCTCTCTTTGGAATGGGCACAATATGGATCTTTTCCCATAGATTGGCCAGGTATGTGCATTCCATATTTCTTGGCATAGATGAGTGAGTACCTCCAGTGCCACATTAGTTTGTTGAAAGATTTCAATTTGTAGTCCATCAATTCCCAGAGCCTTGTTCTTTGCCAATGTCTTCAATGCACCTCAAGGATCATTGGCTCTTGATCATATTCTACCTCTTGAAATGGTTGAACACCGACCATTTCTTTTTGGTACAGTGACTCTGTATTCCTTCCATCTTCTTTTGATGCTTTCTGCATCATTTAGTATTTTGCCCATAGAATTATTCAGTGTTTCAAGTCAAGGCTTTAATTTTTTCTTCAGTTCCCTCAGCTTGAAGAATGTTGAGTGTGTTCTCCCCTTTCAGTTTTCTAAATCTAGGTTTTTGCACATTTTGTTATAATATTTGGTTTTGGCTTTGTAAGCTGACCTTTGGGATTTCCTATTCAGCTCTTTCACTCCTTAGGAACCCTAAAAAAAAAATGGCTCTAACCTTCTAAGCTGATATCCCTTGACTTTAACTAGCCCAGAAAATTCATGAATAATCCATTGGTTTGACTGGATATTGGTAAAGGCAAGACTCATCCCTGGTTGTGATTCATCCCATAAAATCATCTTTGTTAGCTTCAGTCTTCCTTAAAAGACTGATGGAAGGATCAGCTCTTTGAGCTAGCTAAGCTTTACATAATACTTTTATTTGAAAAAAAAAACAAAAAAAAACCTTGCTTTTATTTTTTAAAAGCATCCTTTTTTTTTTTTTTTCTTTCTTCTTAAGGCACCCAAATGAGACTAGGGTAAGTGTATTACTGAGAGAACCTGTCCACCTTTATCCATTGATTGAAGAGATTAATTTAAACTTGCTTTGTTGGGAATAAACCCATAGGTATATAAACTGGAACCCTACTAGCAATTCTTTTTGACTTACCCTCATATAAGAGTATGTTTATTAGTTTATTTTCTGTAACAAGAATATAAGTTTGTTGCTTTGGTCTCCTCTGTATCCTTGGTGCTGAGGCTAATGTTTGATAAATAGTAGACACTTGATTAATGTTTGAGGAATGAATGACAAAGTCCTGGGGTGCTTCCTGGGCCCTATGCAACTTCCATAGGGAAGGTGTGAGAGAATTCCATGGGCTCTGAAAGTCTAACCCAGAGCCCTTACATTGCAGGTCATGATCTGAGAGGGCAACTATTCAGTCTCATTTTGGCCCTTTCCTCCCGATACAGACTCTGCCCACCCCTCTGCCATCCCTGAGGCCTCCAACCCAGCCTCTGACCCAGCCTCTGATGGACTGGAACCCATTGTTACAGTGACAGAGACCCTAGAGGAGCTGCAGCTGCCTCAGGAAGCTGTGGAGAGCGAGTCCCGTGGAGCCATCTACTCCATTCCCATCATGGAGGATGGAGCAGGTGGTAGTTCCACTCCTGAAGACCCTGCAGAGGCCCCTAGAACCCTCCTAGGTAACTAGAATCCCTTATCCTGGGAATGTTTCCACCTGAGAGAAATTGGGAGCAGAAGGGGCAAGCCTAGGTTGATTGGAATGATTCTACCCCATCCTTTCTCAGTAACTCAACAGTACATCTCTCCTGTCCCTCTCCCAACTTTTGCCTTTCCCGCACATTTCACCCCCAACTCTCCAGAAAGTCTCTTCTGTGCAGTCTCCATCCTTTCTGTTGCACTAGTGGTCCCCAGAGCAGATTCAGAAAACTTGGAAAGGACTGGTAATGCTTGGACTAAGGAAATGCCCCCTTCCCCTCCAGCAAAGGGGTCTCATTTATTTGGCCCCTCCTCCTCCTTGTCTTTCCTAAAGAAAGTATTGACAGGCTAGGAAAAGGAGATGCAACAATCATGTCCTTCTTGGCTAATGACAGATCACAGGGACTTCTGAAGTATCCCCTCCATACTGAAGCTTAGGTTGAAGTTACACTTACAGTGTGGAGCAAAGAGTACCTTTCCCCAGAGCCTCAGCCTCCCAGTCCCATACCTTTCTCCCCTTCCCCTCTTCCCCTACTTCCCCCATGTCCCCTTCTTTACTTCTGGTGGAAGCTGGGGTGCTGTCCTTGGTGCTGAAACCTTTGTACTTTGCCCAGAATCGGAAACCCAATCCATTATACCTCCCATGGGGTCTTCAGAAGAGGAAGTCAAATTGTTGGAGAAAGAAGAGAAATACAAGGATGAAGAAGAGAAAGAGGAGGAGGAGGATGTGGAAAATGAAGCCCTGTGGACCTGGCCTAGCAAGTTTGGCAGCCTGGGTTCTAAGGCACCTTTCCCCACCAAGCCCACACTAGAGGAATCACTGTCCCAGGCATCCCCACCAGAGAAGGTGGTCCTGTGGCCTGGTGTATCACCACCTCCTGGTGCTGAGTCAGAGGCTCCCAGGCCTCCTAGGATCCGTGGGCCACCCACTGAAACCCTACCTACTCCCAGGGAGGGAAAACTGGCATCCCCACCACCTTCCACACCATTTAGGGCAAGAGAATTGGGGGAAGAGAACAGGGGTCCTGAGCTGTCTGAGGTGCCCCGAGGAGAGAGTGAGGAGACAGGGAGCTCCGAGGATTCCCCTTCGCTACTTCCAGTCACACGGGTCCCTGAGGGCACCAGGGAGCTGGAAGAGAATTCTGGAAGAACTGCCTCAGCAGGGACCTCAGTGCGAACCCAGCCAGTCCTGCCCACTGATAGTACCAGCCGAGGTGGAGTGGCTGTGGCCCCCTCATCAGGTAACTCTACCCAAGGTTCCACCTTCCTCTTGAACCTCCTCCTCCTCTCTCTCCCCTTGAAGCTCTGGGTCACTTGACCTGTAGTCCTTTAAACCACCATTGTTCCAGAGCCTTCTGGCCTTTACCTTCATTCTGTTACCCACCTTTACCTGTAGTTCTCCAATCCTGAACATCCCACCTATTAACTTCAATCCCAACTTTCTTACTATACACCCTGTAACCTCCAACTCTATGATTCTCTCCCTGTGACCCCCTCCCTGTTCTTGAAATCCTTACCCTGTGACCTTTAACCCCCACCACTGACCACCTGGACCCTATCCTACCCTTGGCCTCTCCACTCTGTGACTTTCATCTCATCCAATCCACAGAACACCCTCACACCCTCTCCAGTGTGCCTCCCTCACCTATTACACTCTTCATGGCCCAGGTCTATCTTCCACTGTCCCCTTCCCTCTCTTGTGGATTACACCTTTCCACAGCCTCTCACTGATACCAGGGAAGCCTGGGATTCCAGCTTCCTCTCACAACCTCTGGAGCCCAGGAGAGTCCCTACCCCCATGGAGCCTTAAGTGATTACTTCTGTGAAGTATATATATTTTTTGACTGTTTCATGGAAAACAAACCTCGGAAATAAATCTCTATTAAACCACTTTATAACCAAAACTCTGGAACCCTCTGTCTCCATCTCCAGCTGTCTGGTCTTTTCATTCCATGGATCTGTGTCCTCAGAAGCTCTTTGATGCTTCCCTTTGGTACCATGTCTCTCCCTCTCTTTCTCTCTCCTTCTCTCTTTGTGTCTCTGCCTCTGTCTCTTTGTGCTTCTCTTCCATTTTCATCTTCAGCCTACACCCTTTCCTGTCCTGACAGTCTAACAGCCCCTTGATGCTCCTGCATCTTCTCCTCAGGCCTTTGGACACTTTCCTTCCTGACTACTGAGATCTTAAATGTTGTTGTTGTTGTTAAGTGCTGTCAAGTCAATTCTGCCTCATAGTGACCCTGTATAGAGTTTCCTAGGCTTTAAATTATTGTGGGAGCAGAAAGCCTCATCTTTCTCCCAAGGAGTGGCTGGTGGGCCTGAATCACCGACCTTGTGGTTCAAAATCCTATGAAGCCACTACACTCGTAAGATCCTAAATATGACTGCACATATTACCTTAAAGAAGTCATCATCAGCCTGGGAGAGTTCTGGGAGTTATAGTCCCTCATTGTGGTGGGGAAAAGTTTACACAGCCTGAGGTGTATCTGTGTTTGCATTTATGTTTATTTCTGACCCATCCTGGCTGCTCCCATATAGACAGAGAAGTGACAGATAGTTCTTTTTGGTATGGAGACCCATGCCTGGCATCCAGATACTCCAATCCCACCCCCCAACTCCTGCATCTCAGCAGGGGAAATGACATCTAACTCTCATCCCACTGCCTATAGCCTCCCAGTTTTTTTCACTAATCCATGAACTAATGACCACAGCCACACTCCAGAGAGAATGATTTTACCATTCCCAACCCAAAGGAGCTCAAAGTCTCTAATGCTGGAGAACACTCAAATCAAAGATGGATAATGAGGAGGGAAGAGAAGTGGAGAGTTAGGTTCTGGGGTTTGAGAGAAACTCTACCTACTTGGGGAAAGTTGAACTCCCCATTGGAGACCCCTAGAGAAGGCTAGGAGCATCCCTGCCTTCTGACCCCCTCTCCTAGAGGGCCCACAGTAAGCTAGGTGCCCCTGCATCTCACCCAGGCTCACCCATTTCCAACAGTTGGCTCCTTACCTAGCTGGTCTTGGAGTTAGCCCAGCCCTGTGTGGCTGGGAAGGTGGTTTTGGTGGGGGAAGGAACACCATTGGAAGTGTCTGCTGTGTGTTATTGAACCCAGCCTCACCATGTGACCAGATTGGAGCATGAGTGAGAGGTTGCCTGGCCTGCTGTTGTAGCAAGACGAAAAGGGTAGATCACAGAAAAAAAAACAAAAACAAAAAACAACTTTTTGTGTTGAGTAGTTGGCTCCCAAGTTGGGGAGAGAGGAGAACAAAAAGTCTCAAGAAGAGTTCCTTCATCTCACTGTGTGTCCTGGGCTCAAGTTCTGTAGCCCTCAGCCAGAGGGAGGGACCTGGGACCTGGGTGGAAGACCAAGCTGGAGAGTCTCTGTCCTTCAGGGCTGGAGGATTAGAGGACTGGGTATGGAGGAGCAAAAAGGACAGCAGAAGGAGCAGTAAAGTAGGGGGCTGTTCAGGACTACTAACCTCTGTGGGGTCTGGTGCTTAATGAGTTAAATAAAATGCTTCCCTTTGGGGGGGGGGGGGGGAGAACAGAATTGACAGCTTGGGAGAAACCAATGGCAAGAGAGGAGGTGACAGGGAGAGTGTTGCTGGAACAGTTGAATCATTTTCATCAAAACAGCTAGGTCATTCCAGCAAAATTCTTTCAATCAGCTCCAGACTCTCCTCTCCCCAACCCTTCTCTGATCCCCACCAGGCAATGGGATTTGAGGCTACAGTGAAGCATTATGGGCCTTGGCCTCTACCACTAGGGATGGGTGGTATGGTCTAAAGGTTCCGCCCATAGCAGATATTAACTCCTGGGATGAGGACGGTGACTTGTACTGTCAGTCTATGGGATCATTTTCCTCTGGGTTATTTGGATCCCTAAGGAATTAACCTGACAACTCCTGTAGCATGCAGTTTGAAGGCAGCTGACCTTTACCCTAGGATCCAGAGATAGAATCCAGGGGAGAGGGCAGATGGCCTAATCAGACAGAGATGGATCCAGACAACAGATTCCAGGCTTTCAGAACAGCTTCAATCTAAAAGACTGCCTGGAGGTGTAGGAGCCAGAGAAGGAAAGGGAGAATAAGTAAAGTGTTTCTAAACTGGGAACGTGAAGAAGTCCTGAAGTGGAGGGAGGGGCATCTGATAAGAAGGGAGAGTCCTGAGAGAGAAGGAGAGGCAAAGAGATCAGATGATGCGGAGAGAAGCTAAGTATGTGGGTTGGCTGGCACAGTGGGAGCCACTGCAGCTTCTTTCTTAAGCTGTGGAAGAGGGCTAAGGTACTGAGTGAGGAAAGAGCTGTGGGTCTCCACTGACACCTTCTGGGACTGGCTGACCCTGCCCAGTGGACAGCAGGAAGAATGGTTACTCCTGGGTCACTCCAATGTCCAATGCCAGGTGTCAGAGGCAGTAAAGGTCAGACCACACCCCACTGTTGCTCTAGATCCTACAGAATTGTACTGGGACCTGGCATAAAGAAAACTAAACCTTAAGCCCAGAAAGAGGAAGTGACCTGTCCAGGTCTCAAGACTGGCAGCCCAGTATCTCTCCTCTTTAGTGCACTTGGCTCTTCAGGGCATTCCTGGATACTTCCCTTCAGCCCTTGTTGGACTGGGTCCACTCTAGTGGGCCTGAGGATGGCCCACACAGGGAGGACTCAATGCTGAAATGGGGGAGGGAAGAGGAAAGAAATAACAAAACTCAGGATTGGACTGTGAGTAGAGGAAGGCTTCAAGGTGAACTTTGAGGGTGCTGTGATAGCTACCAGGACAGGAAGGTCAGGGCTGGGGGATTCTCTGGACCCTCTCCTGAAGGGCTTAGGCCCCAGAGTTGTGCTCCCCCACCCCCACCTCACTTTCTCCCCCTCTCAGGTGGTTGTGTCCCCAGTCCCTGCCACAATGGTGGGACATGTTTGGAGGAAGAGGAAGGGGTCCGCTGCCTGTGCTTGCCTGGCTATGGGGGGGACCTATGCGATATTGGTGAGTGTGTTGAAGGGCTGGGGTGGGAGGAGATCTGAAGCCTGGGTCCTGCCACATTTGCTAGTTCTTAGGGAAAGGGCTCTGTCACTAATAAGTTCCCATATTAGGCAAGTCTTATAACATCTCAGTCCCATGCTCAACTTCCTCATCTATTAAATGTGACCAAAATGCCTCTCTCAGGGGGTCCCCGTGAGGGGACCGTTTAGCATATTCGCACCACCATTCATGCCAGTTTCCATTCTCCTGCCAAGAGATAGGATACCACTGGTCTTTGGGATGCAGGAAGGCTGAGGGCTCCGCTGAGATTCCATCCCTCAGCTGGTTCTTAGCCCTCAAAGAACGCTTCAACGAATCCTGCCCAAGGGTCCCTCCTCCCCAGTGGTGTTTCCCCGCCTCCTTACGCTCTAAGAGCTCTTTAGCACCGCCTCCTGCCCCTTAGGTCCAACCCCTCGCTCTGCTGCGGTGGGAGGAGTCCAATCCCTACCCAAGGAACCTAGTCCCTTCGGGTTCCTGGGTTCTCCCAACTAAACTGCGGGTCCTTCTGTGCCCCAGGCCTCAGCTATTGCAGCCCCGGCTGGGACGCCTTCCAGGGCGCCTGCTACAAGCACTTTTCCACACGGAGAAGCTGGGAGGAAGCAGAGACCCAGTGCCGGATGTATGGCGCGCACCTGGCCAGCATCAGCACGCCCGAGGAACAGGACTTCATCAACAGTGGGCGGGGGCCGGGGCAACCAGGAACCCTGCCATCCGCTCGCTCACTCACTCATTTATTCATCGATTCACCCCTTTAAGCATTAGTTCTCGCACTTATTACCTGGCTCACTTCATTCATTCACTTGTTTGTTCTCTCCCTCCTTCTCACTCCACACTTGGGTAGCAGGGCTTCAGGCCCGGGAGGGCTGGGTTTCACGCAGGAGATAACGCCAGTAGGATCCTGGCCATGGCTCAAAGGACCTGTCTTCCTTCTCGGGTTCTCGGCTCTCCTATCTGCTATTCCAACTTTGACCTTATTTAAAGTTAAAGTTTTACTCTTTCCCCAGTTTCCCCTCTCTAGCCCTGGTTGGCATTCCCCCTACTTCCACTTCCGCCCTTGCCTTCCATCAGGTCAATATTCAGAGGTTGGAGTGGGGAGAGAAAACTGAGAAGCGCGGGTTTGGGAAAGAGGGATGGACTTCGAAAGGCGGGCTCCTTACTGACCGCCCGATAACGGGGAATGGCTGCCATCTGCTGGCAGGTGAGCTCACTGCACGCCTTCGTCTCCCCTTCGGCCATTCCCCAGATGGATACCGGGAGTACCAGTGGATCGGGCTCAATGACCGGACCATCGAAGGCGACTTCCTGTGGTCGGATGGGGTTCCCCTGGTGAGAAGCCCCAGATTCCCCAGATTCCAACCCCAATTCATGTCTTCTAGATCGTGTCCTTGAAGCAATTTGCCCTCCATCCATCCCAATGACTCCTTCTCCTCCCTGGTACTCACTCACTTCTCTGTACCTCTTGTTTCCCTGTATTCCTTCTCTTTCCCTTCAGCTCCCATCCTTTCCCCATGGCCACTTTCCTTAACTTTTCACCTTCCCTTTCTTGGTGCCCACCCCTCTCTCTTCCTCCCAGATCATCCAGACTCCTTTGCTTTAATGTTCCTGGTATTCCAGAGTTGCTCACCATGTGCTTTGTCGTTCACCCCTCCCACCTACACACGCTCCAGCTCTATGAAAACTGGAATCCTGGGCAGCCTGACAGCTACTTCCTGTCTGGAGAGAACTGCGTGGTCATGGTGTGGCATGACCAGGGACAATGGAGCGATGTGCCCTGCAACTATCACCTGTCCTATACCTGCAAGATGGGGCTGGGTGAGGGCAGACAAGGGCCCCTCAGGCAAGGGGAGGGAAAGATGGGGGTTAGGGAACCCAAGAAACTGATATGTTCATAGAAGATGGTAGAAAGCTACAAGAGTCAAAAATGTGTTCCCGAATATATTAGAGAGAGAACAAATGTGGGTCTACTAGGAAGTCCTGCTCTTTTTTGTGTCAGGTTGTGTCTCACTCCTCTCCTCTCCATCAATTGTATGCTTCCTTCAGTGTCCTGTGGGCCCCCACCAGAGCTACCCCTAGCTCAAGTGTTTGGCCGCCCACGACTACGCTATGAAGTGGACACAGTGCTTCGATACCGGTGCCGGAAGGGGCTCGCCCAACGCAACCTGCCGCTGATACGCTGCCAGGAAAACGGTCGCTGGGAGCCTCCCCAGATTTCCTGTGTGCCTCGAAGGCCCGTGAGTGTCCAGTGGTACTAGCCAACAAGAACCCTGGGTTCCCATCCCAGATGGCTGTGTAACCTTGGAGTAATCACTGCCCCTCTCTCTGCTCTGGACCCTCTCTGCGAAGGGAGGTGGGCTGGAAGCTTACAAGGCCCTTCGGTGCTAATATCTGAGAACAAGCTGCGATATTCTGAGCTTTTAAAGGCTGAGCCAGGGCTAGTGTTTTGATGATGTTAGCAACCAAGGTGCAAGAGGACCTAAGCTCAGGCTCTGAGAGTGAAGGGTAGTGTGCATGTCTTCTCCAGGCCCGAGCTCTGCACACTGGGAAGGCCCCAAGAGGACACCAGGAGTGGCTGCAGGGACACTGGAAGGCACTATTGACCCCTCCTTCCAACCCCAATTCAGGTCCACGGGGGGCAAGGCCTTGAACACTGCTGCCCCAAATACTGCCCTCTCCCCCAACCCTCCGTCACCCACAGGCAATGGTGACAGAAGGAGAGGGGTGGAACTGGGGTCCAGGTCACATTGCCTGAAAGGTCTTCAGAGAAATACCCAGTTCGCTCTACTCAGCCTAGGCTCTCTCTCCTCCCACCCGGGGTATCAGGTTTTTCCCTCAGGGCAATGGGTAAGTCCCTAAGTGCCTCAACTGCTCTCTCCTTGCCAGCTATCCTGCCCTCTCCATTCCCCTAGGGGGCATTGTGCTCACTCATTCTTGGTTTCCAAGAGAATGGGATTGTTGGGTGATATACTTTAAAATTAGAAGGAAATAAAACTGGGTTTGAGCCCAAGAATGTTTGATGCCTGTGTATGTGTCTGTGTGTCTGTGAGTGAGAGAGAGAAAAATAGGGTTGTACAGGGCTGTGAACCTTAAGGCCAGCAGTTCGAAACTACCAGCCGCTCTGTGGAAGAAAGATGAGGCGTTCTGCTCCCATGAAGATTTACAGCCTCGGAAACCCTGTACAGGGTCACTATGGGTCAGAAACGACTCAACGGCACTTAACAACAACAACAACAACAACAACAGGGCCTCATGATTCCTGCTGTGGTGCTGTGGGTCTCTAGACTGCAACGTTGGTCTGAACCTCAAGGTAGGTGGTTCGAGCTCACCACCAACCAATCCTCAGAAATACAGGGTCACTATGGGTCGGAACTGACTCAACAACAACTTAACAACAGCAGCAAGCAGGGCCTCATAGAATAAATACGGCTTCTGTGTTTATTGACTTCTGAAGGTAAGAGAAATCCTCAAGATGTCAGTGAATAACACAGTTGTTGTTGTTAGGTGCCATCAAGTCATTACCAACTCATAGTGGCCCTATGTACAAAAGAACGAAACACTGCCCAGTCCTGGACCAACCTCATAATCGTTGCTATGCCTGAGCCCATCGCTTCCACCACTGTGCCAATCCACCTCGTAGGGGTCTTCCTCTTTTTCTATGACCCTCTATTTTACCAAACATGATATCCTTCTACAGTGACTGGTCCTTCCTGAAAACATGTTTGAAGTATAAAAGACGAAGTCTGGCCATCCTGGCTTCCAAGGAGCATTCTGGTTGTACTTATTCCAACACAGATCTGTTTGTTCATTAGAGTGTCCATGGTACTTTTAATATTTTCTTCCCATACCATAACTCAAATGTATTCTATGGTTTTCCTTACTCAATATCCAACTTTCACATGCATATGAGGTTATTGAAAATACCATGGTATTGGTCAGGCGCACCTTAGTCCTCAAACTGACATCTTTGCTCTTCAACACTTTAAAGAGATTTTATGCAACAGATTTGCCTAATGCAATACATGGTTTGATTGACAACTTCAATCTTTTTGCTATTTATACGGATGCTGTTTTTAGGTCCAGTGGTGAGGATTTTTGTTTTCTTTACATTGAGATGCAACCCATACCAAAGGCCATGGTCTTTGATCTTCATCAGCAAGTATTTTAAGTCCTCTTTGCTTTCAGCAAACAAGATTATATCATCTGCATATAGCAGATTGTTAATGAGTCTTCTCCAATCCTGGTGCTATGTTCTCCTTCAAATAAACCAGTGTCTCAGTTTATTTGCTCAACATACAGATTGAAAAAGAATACAACCCTGGCACACTTTTCCTAACTTTAAACCATTCAGGGTTCCCTTGTTCTGTTAGAACAAATGCCTCTTGGTCTATTTACAGGTTCCTCATGAGCACAATGATGTGTTCTAGAATACTCATGCTTCACAATGTTATTCATAGTTTATAGTGATCCACACGATCAAAAGTCTTTGTGTAGTCAATAAAGCAGAGATAAACATCTTTGTGGTATTTTCTGCTTTCAGTCAAGGTCCATCTGATGTCAGCAATGATGTCCTTCATTCCACATCCTCTTCTGAACCAACTTGAATGTCTGGAAGTTCTCTGTCAATGTATGGTTGTAGCCATTTTGGATTATCTTTAGTAAAACTCTACTTGCATGTGATATCAATGATATTGTCTGATGATTTCCACATTCTGTTGGTTTACCTCTCTTTGGAATGGGCACAAGTGTGGATCTCTTTCAGTCAGTTGGCCAGGTAGTTGTCTTCCAATTTTCTTGGCATAGACTAGTGAGTGCTTCCACTACTGCATCAATCAGTTTATTGAAAGATTTCAATTTGTATTCCATCTATTTCTGGTGCCTTGTTCTTTGCCAATGACTTCAGTGCACCTTGGACTCCTTCCTTCAGGGTCATTGGCTCTTGATCATATGCTTCCTCTTTAAATGGTTGAACATTGACCATTTCTTTTTGGTACAGTGACTTTGTGTATGCCTTCCATCTTCTTTTGATGTTTTCTGCATCATTCAGTATTTTGCCCATATTGGTGGTGGTGTGCTGTGGAGTTGGTTCCAACTCATAGTGACCCTGCATAGGGTTTACAAGGCTGTAAATCTTTACAAGAGCAGAAAGCCTCATCTTTCTCCCATGGACCGGCTGGTAGTTTCGAACTGCTGACCATGAGGTTAGCAGCCTGACTCGTAACCACTATGCTACCAGAGCTCCTATTTTACCCATAGAATCTTTGAATGTTGCAAGTTGAGGCTTGAATTTTTTCTTCAGTTCCCTCAGCTTGAGAAATATTGAGCATGCTCTTCCCTTTTGGTTTTCTAACTCCAGATCTTTGCACATTTCTTTATATTTGACTTTGTCTTCTCGAGCTGACCTTTGGTATTTTCTGTTCAGCTCTTGTACCTCCTCACTTCTTACATTTGCTTTAGCATCTCTACGCTGGAGAGCAAGTTTCAGAGTCTCTTCTGACATTCATTTGGTCTTTTCCTTTTTTTTTTTTTTTTAATCTTCTTAATGACCTTTTGCTTTCTTCTTGTGTGATGTTCTTGATGTCAGCCCAGAACTCTTCTGGTCTTCGGTCTTTAGTATCTAATGCATCAAATCTGTTCTTCAGGTGATCTCTAAATTCAGGTGAGATATATTCAAGGGCATATTTTGGCTCTCATGGACTTGTTTTAATTTTCTTCAGCTTCAGCTTGAATTTGCATATGAGTTATTGATGGTTTGTTCCACAGTCCACCTTGGCCTTGTTTTGGCTGATGATATGGAGCTTTTTTATTGTCTCATTACACAGATGTAGACAATTTGATTTCTGTGTATTCTGTCTGATGAGGTCCATGTGTATAGTTGTCTTTTATGCTGTTTAAATAAAGTATTCACAATGAAGAAATCATTCGTATTGCAAAATTCTATCACGTGATCTCCAGCATCATTTCTATCACCAAGACCATATTTTCCAACTACTAATCCTTCCTCTTAAGGAACTCTGGTAGCATAGTGGTTACGAATCAGGCTGCTAACTTCAAGGTCGGCAGTTTGAAACTACCAGCTGTTCCGCGGGAGCAAGATGAGGCTTTCTGCTCCCGTAAAGATGTGCAGCCTTGGAAACCCTGTACAGGGTCGCTATTTGTCAGAACCGACTCCACAGTACTTAACAATAACAACAACAATCCTTCCTCTTAGTTTCCAACCTTTGCATTCCAATCATGCACTCAAGATGTATTGATAATCATTGATTATCAGTACATCTTGAGTGCATGTCATGTTTGATCAATTTCAGACTAAGTAAGTTGGTAGAGTTCTTTAATTTCATCATCACTGGTTTAGTGATTGGTGCCTAAATTTGAATAATAGTGGTATTAACTGGTCTTCCTTGTTGTTGTTAAGTGTCGTTGAGTCGATTCCGATCCATAGCGACCCTGTATAGGATTTCCAAGGAGCAACTGGTGAGCTTGAGCCACCGACTTTGCAGTCTGATGCATTAGCCCACGGCGCCACACCAGGACTCTGATCTTCCTTGTAGGCGTATGGATATTATCCTATCACGGACAGCGTTATACTTCATAATTGATTTTGATATGTTCTTTTTGATGATGAATGCGACGCCATTGTAGTGATGAATGCACAGCTTTGTTGTTGTTGTTAAGTGCTATCGAGTCGACACGGACTCATAGCGACCCTATGCACAGCAAACGAAACAATGTCCGATCCTGGGCCAACCTCACTACTGTTGCCACACTTGAGTCCATCGAGGCTGCCACCTGGCCAATCCATCTCGTTGGGGGTCTTCCTCTTTTTCTCTGATCCTCCATCTTACCAAGCATGATATCCTTCTCTAGCAACTGTTCCCTCCCGATACAGTTGTTGTTGTTATGTGCCGTAGAGTCGGTTCTGACTCATAACGATCCTGTACAGGGTTTCCAAGGCTATAAATCTTTACGGGAGCAGAAAGCCTCATCTTTCACCCACAGAACAGCTGGTAGTTTCAAACTGCTGACCGTGAGGTTAACAGCTCGATTCGTAACTACTACGCTACCAGAGCTCCTGGTATACAGTAGCTGGCCTGAAATCGGTATCAAGTAAATTATTTGTGGCCTGAAGGAACCCACAGGGTTTGGAGGATGATTGGAGGGGTGCAGGATGTTTAGGAGATGGAGGCCCTGGAGTGCCCAAGTCAAGCAGACCTTGTTGTTGATGTTATTAAGTGCCGTGGAGTAGGTTCCCACCCTGTATAGGGTTTCCGAGGAGCGGCTGGTGAGCTTGAACTGCCGGCCTTGCAGTTCAAACTGACCTTGCAATCCAGTGCATTAGCCCACAGCACCACACCAGGACTCCTCAAGCAGACCTAGCCATCAGGAAAGCAGAGACGATGAAAATGTCCCAATGTCAGGGTTCTGAGGCTGGTTCTCAGGTGATGTGAGGATAAAGGGAAAGCTAGACAGGCACTGCAGTAAAAAGATGGAGGGCTAGACTGCAAGATTTGTGGCTTGCAGAGAAGGCAAAGATCAAAACAGGAATCAGGAAGTAAGATAGGGACATGAAAGATGTCCCAACCCTGGGGTGGGATGGACTCTGGAAAATATCCTGAGGGTCTTCTAGGCTGTGACCAGCAGAGGGAGCTGCGGGTGTAGGCACGTCGTCCTGAGAGTGCCGTGTGCGCG